CATTCACTTTATTATGAATTTCCTTTTTGACTTCAGAGGAGGGCTTATGGTTTAGGTTTCCAGGAAGTGGTGGACAAAGATATTTTGGTGGGGAACAATAAAACTATTTAGTTTCATATGCAAAAACCACTTAAGGTGTCAATGCAATTTTCTATACCCTGCAGATGAGTAAACTGGTTCCCACATCCAGTTCCTCATGCATGCTTTGGAACAATAATGACCACATTTTTGTAGATATGTCTGACTTTGTACATAAAAAACAACAACACAGGAATAGATCCATGGTGAAAAATCTGTGACACAGCAGAAGCTTTTTAAAATCAAAACTCAATTTTGGGGGGAAAGAAAGAAACAAGGATTACTACTACTACTACTACTACTACTACTACTAATTTATGATTTATACCCAGACACTCTGGGCAGCTTCCATCAAAAGATGAAAAATACATTAAAACATCAGTCATTAAAAACGTCCCTAAACAGTATGCCTCTTAAGTCTCCCTACGCACTACAGCAAGTTATTTTACCTTTCAATGACTGTTTTTGGTTGAAATCTGATCACTGTGTGGCCAGCGAATAGGTTTAGGGACACACAGCCAAACTAACATTATTTTTGTGGTATAGTTAGCAATTAAAACCCAAAAAAAAATTGGCAATGAGAAGCATACTCTTTAGTCTGCCTATTTTTAGAGCCTAGCACAAGTGGAGAGAATTCCCCCATAAACAAAATAAATGCATGCAATAAATAAATGTATTAATCAGGAGAACTTCAAAAGAGCATAACAGAATCCCAAGTTTCATGACACCAGCTCATCAGTCTTTCTGCTCGTTTTATGGTTCTGGTTATGCATCTAGACTAAATTAAAAGGATAAAAAGACCTTACATGTACAAATTACATATCATTCAGAGTGATTATCATTTCGGTGCCAAGAAGCTGTCCTCTGCAAGTCAAATTTTATTCAAATTACATTCATGACCTGCACAAGAAACTGTATATTAAGTATTTATTACTTCAGATGGGGGCACTTGCATTGGCACTGCGGTGAAAATTGTCCTAATCTTAAGCTCAGATTCATAAAATCCATGTATAAAGAGAATAAACTAATTTACACTCCCCTCTAGCAGTAAGGAAGGGAGCAATGAAGAACTTCTTCAGAACAATGCTGCATGCTTTCTATAGTTTTGAGGCGCATGCAATGCACATTAATTAAGCAAATCAGTCAATGTACTTTTGTGCAATGTTGGAGAGTATGCGTAGTAATTTGTCTTCGCAAGGATAAATGATAGAATATAATATCCAGAGTGATAAAGATGTAATAGTATGTAATAGTGCAATACTAACTCACAATACAAAACATGGACTTGGGGGCGGGTGGGCAAGGCAGAGATATCTTTATGCTGGTTTCTACAGATGGTGCTGTGGTCTAAACCACTGAGCCTCTTGGGCTTGCTGATCAGAAGGTCGGCAGTTCGAATCCCCATGACAGGTTGAGCTCCCATTGCTCGGACCAAGCTCCTGCCAACCAAGCAGTTCAAAAGAACGCCAAAAAGTGCAAGTAGATAAATAGGTACTGCCGTGGCAAGAAGGTAAATGGCGTTTCCGTGGGCTGCTCTGGTTTTGCCAGAAGCGGCTTAGTCATGCTGGCCACATGACCCGGAAAAACTGTATGCGGACAAACATTGGCTCCCTCGGCCAGTAAAGTGAGATGAGCGCTGCAACCCCAGAGTCGTTCGCGTCTAGACTTAACTGTCAGGGGTCCTTTACCTTTACCTTTTACTTCTCCCAGGCTCTGTTAGTTTCCAACAATATTGAAAAATCCACTGCAGTGGAAACCCCTGTCAGTGGTGTAGCATGGGTTGTCAGCACCCAGGGCTGCGTGGAGGAGGTGGGTAAGAGGGAGGGAAATGGATGGAGTATGCGTGCACATTCAACTGCCTAGTGGTATCCACATCACCCAGGATATCGCAGCTGCAGAGATTTTTAAAAAGAAGAGTGCTGGATTTACGTATAAACTAAACAAGCTATAGCTTAGGGCCCCACTCTCTTGGGGGCCTCCAAAAAATTTAAAGGAAAAAATACGGAATGTACATTTCCAAAATATAAAAACACCTACATACAGCAATAGTGTTTTGTGTTGTGTAGGCTCCTCTTTGTGATGTGCAAATGGCTTTAGATACCTATTAGGTCCATAAATTACCTATAGCATATTTATTGAGTTCTTTAGTCATGTCCAACTCTTCGTGACCCCATGGACCAGAGAACGCCAGGCACTGCTGTCTTCCACTGCCTCCCGGAGTTTCGTCAAATTCATGTTGGTAGCTTCTATAACATGGTCCAACCATCTCATCCTCTGTCGTCTCCTTCTCCTTGTGCCCTCAATCTTTCCCAGCATCAGGGTCTTTCCCAGGAGTCGTCTCTTCTCAAGAGGTGGCCAAAGTATTGGAGACTCAGCTTCAGGATCTGTCCTTCCAGTGAGCACTGAGGGTTGATTTCCTTCAGAATGGATAGGTTTGATCTTCTTGCAGTCCACGAGACTCTCAAGAGTCTCCTCCAGCACCATATTCAACACAAAAACAGTTGTTGACAAACGACAGCTGGACATATACAGGGCCCCATTACCTTCAGGAGCGTACTCCCTCCTCAAACCTTATCCATGTTTGCATGGATAAATTGTTTTCTACAAAGCCCAGCTGTATTGAAGCAGCACTGGGTCTTGAAATTTTGCATCCCTAACAATTTTTCACCTGGGGAAATCCCCTTGTGGCACCCCCATGCTACGTCACTAGCCCCTTCGATATTCCTGATGGTAGCAGCCTGATAAAAATTCCAGAAATGGGGTGTTGCCAGGATAAGGTGCTGGGGGATATAGAATCATAAAATCATAGAATCATAGAGTTGGAAGAGACCACAAGGGCCATCGAGTCCAACCCCCTGCCAAGCAGGAAACACCATCAGAGCACTCCTGACAAATGGTTGTCAAGCCTCTGCTTAAAGACCTCCAAAGAAGGAGACTCCACCACACTCCTTGGCAGCAAATTCCACTGTCAAACAGCTCTTACTGTCAGGAAGTTCTTCCTAATGTTTAGGTGGAATATAAATTAGCAGGATTCAAGTCTTGGCAGATCTTCTGAATGGCCTAGCCTGGAGCTCACACAGCAGAAACAAAATCATTTTCTACAGCTCCATGAGCAGGTTTGGATTCTGTACTTTGTCAGACCAAAAGCTGAACCAAACAGGATAAGCTACAACATTTCATAAGCAAAATCTATCATCTTCTAAAGCCTGGTAGGATAAAACAGGGAATTCAGTATAAATACAGACAACAATTTACCAAGAGGAAAAGTTTACAGTGGTTATCTGTAAAGGTAAAGGTAAAGGGACCCCTGACCATTAGGTCCTGTCGTGGCTGACTCTGGGGTTGCGGCGCTCATCTCGCTTTATTGGCCAAGGGAGCCGGTGTACAGCTTCCGGGTCATGTGGCCAGTATGACTAAGCCACTTCTGGAGAACCAGAGCAGCACACAGAAACGCCATTTACCTTCCCGCCGGAGTGGTACCTATTTATCTACTTGCACTTTAATGTGCTTTCGAACCGCTAGGTTGGCAGGAGCAGGGACCGAGCAAAGGGAGCTCATCCCATTGTGGGGATTCGAACTGCCGACCTTCTGATCGGCAAGTCCTAGGCTCTGTGGTTTAATCCACAGTGCTATCCACGTCCCTGTAACACCCTGCCAAATTAAAGTGGACTGCTTTCAAGGTCCTTTGGATCTATGCAACAAATTTAATATGCTTATTGTGTAGAATGCAGCTACATATTTCATAGAATCATAAAATTGTAGAGCTGGAAAGTACCCTAAGGATCATCTAGCCCATCCTCCTGCAATGCAGGAATCTCAACATGTGGTCCACACTCAATTTGAAACCATACCAGACCCTGCTTAACTTTGCAAATATGATAGCTTTATTGCTGCCATCAGGTAGGCTGTTACTGTTTTAGCATGATGTGATTTGGTCCTGTAATAGACTGTGGATGTGTGCTCAACTTATCTTCACACCTTGGCAGGATGAGCCCCAGATGTTGACCATATCAGTCTTTGGCAAGGATAGAAGGACCTACTAATTGCAGTTCTCCCAGGATTTTCTCTCCCCCCCATCCTAATAAAAATTATTCAGCATTTTAGTGTGAATTTCTCTTAACGAACACAAATTTGCATGCAGTTTTGACCAATGTGCTTATTTTTGCCAGGGATTTCCCCATATCTAATGCATTTTTGTAATTTATTTTCATAAATATATTCATTTTTATACATGCTTTCCTCTAATATGTGTATATTGGTAAAACAGTTTTGTTGTTGTTGTTTTATTTATGATTTTCAGTTTTATACATTTCAATAATTTTACAATCATTTTAACATTGCAAAACTCAACTTTCTTCCCCCTCTTTCTGCGGTTCCTTAAATTTATTTTTAATATTTTCTTCATATCCAAATTAACATAATTTACTCATTTATTAATCTGCTTTAAATATATACTCTTATCAAACTTCAAGTTATTACAATAATCCTGCCAATGTTCTTATCTGTTTACAGTTTATTTGTAAATATTCAATAAACCATTTCCATTCTTTTATAAAAAGTTTGCTATCTTGATTTTTTATCTTTCTGGTAAGTTTCACCATTTCTGCATATTCAATAAGTTTTGTATCCATTCTTCTTTCGCTGGGACTTTTTCTTCCTTCCGTTTTGGGCAAGTAACATTCTTGCCACTGTAGTTTCTGTACATGAATACATTTCTATACAGTTTGAGTAGTTCTGTCCCTATAATTCCCAAAAGGAATTGGTAAAATCTGTTTTGAGAATGGCATCGCAAAGTTTGGATAAGTGTCAAATTTCATAGGGCAGCTGTTTTGCCAATTGTTTCAGTTAGTGTGAAGTTGATAGATTTGCCTTTATATGCAAACTGAATTGAATCTGCCCCCCAACCCTATTTCAGGTCAACCTCCTCAGTTGGTACAGCATGAGTCTCTTAATCTCAAAGTCATGGGTTCAAGCCCCACACAGGAAAAAGATTCCTGAAGGACCCTCATGGTCTCTTCCAACTCTACAATTCTATGATTTTATTAGTGTATGATTCTCACTTTGGGGTTGCTCATTCATCAACCTCATCACCCTGTCAAGTGCTAAGGATTGTTTAGTCACACACTAAGTGCAAGTGATAATATATGTGCTAGAAGATGTGTTAAATTGGTCATCTTTGGGGGCTCTCCTTAACTGATAATTAAAATCTTATAAAGGCATGTCCAACCAGTAGATTATGATCTACCAGTAGATCCCTGGCTGATCCTGGTAGATTGTGGGATCATCCCCCCAAAAGCTCACTCCCCCCTAAAAAAAGCTCAAGAACTCTGGTCACTGTCAGGAGTTCAGCCTACACTCGAGTAGGACCTTGGACCCTGACTGGCATGTTCCCTCCCTCCTGGTCGATTGTTTGGGAGCTTCAAAAGCTTTCTTCTGCCCGAAAATCACAGTGACCGATGCCAATAGACATCGGCACACTTAGGGATCTGCAGAGTTTGCGCAGTTGCGTAATAGACCTCAGCATCTCAGCATTTTGGCTAATCTACCTTTATTTACATATAAACACACACGGAGCACTGCAACATGGCTCCCTCTCTCTCTAGCATCAGACAGCAAAGAGAAAAAACAAAGGACAATAGTCCCACTTCACGGAACACAGTAACACAAACATTCTGTCTCCATCACTTCCCACTCCGTGGAGTCAAAACATATACTGTCATGTGATAGACAAAAATCCTATGAATGCAATTATGGAGCAGGAATTCTAACATTCTCCCCCAATTCATTATCTGTGTTGCAGTCATCAGTGCAACAGCCATACAGATGTCATACACACAGTATACTTCTGTATCACCCATTCCACCCTTGGAAATACCTCCAAATGGACTGGCCTTGGGCCTCACCATCTTGCACTCCCCCCTAAAAAAAATCAGTTCTCTCCCCAAAAAGCAACTCTCCCTTCCACCCACCCACCCCACGCATGCCCCTCCTCCCTCCAATGACAATGGGTAGGTCACTGCCAGATTTTTTTTTAATACTGGGAGTAGATCACAGTCTCTTGAGAGTTGGACATGCCTGTAATAATAATAATAATACCTTTACTGTTAATTTACAACCTGTGTACAATGAAATTAACCGAGCCTCCCCCCCCCGCACAAACACTCAATCTCATTGCACTCTGTGTGCTTGTCGCACAACACACCATCCCCAAAAGTCAGTTGCACTATATTATTTTCCATTCAGCAGCCTAACAGCCTACAGATAGAAACTGTTTTTTCACCTGTTGGTACGACTGATTATACTTCTGTATCTCCTGCCTGAGGGTAGAAGATTAAAGAGGTGCTGGCCAGGGTGTGAATCATCCCTCAGAATTTTTCTCGCTCTCCTAAGGCAACGATCCCTTGCGATGTCATCTAGTGGGCTCAGGGGACAGTCCATGATATCATGTGCTGTACCATTATTTGTAATATTGATTTAATTATTCAACTTCTATGACACTTTTTTTTTAAAAAAAATCCCTCTTCGGTGGTGTACAGAAAACTAAAGCAACAACAGATAACTTAAGTAGCAATCAATTTTACAATAATAAATAAATACTAAATACCAAATACCAAAATTACTAATACGTATAAACCAATATCAGTTCCTTCTCTTTTTGACATTCTTCCACTCTTAAGCACTTGATTCTCACCCATGGCCCAAGCAAATTTACAGCTCTCCCATAAAAAAATCTGACAAAGTTTACGGATGCTGATCTTACCCGAATTTTTCACTCTAGGGTTGCTTTTTAAGGGCAGGCACCAAGGCAGATGCAACAGGCTGTCCTCAGCTGTGTCCCTTTCAGCAGTCAGTTACCTTCACTCTCCACATTCAGCTCCAAGTACAGCAGGTTGGGTGAGTTTCTCAGGGGGTCCGAAAGATGAAAAAATGACACCCTCCACTCACATTTATTTTGCTTGCCTCTGCCCTAGTCTCCTCCAGCATTTTTTTTTTTTTTTAAGGCCTGCCTCCAGTCACATATGAAGCACACTGTGAAGGGCATGATTTAAAGCAGAGGAGCAGCTGTATTGAGGGCAAGAGAAAATGCAAATTAAGAGGTATCAGTATATACCGTATTTTTCGCTCTATAAGACGCACCAGACCACAAGAGGCACCTAGTTTTTGGAGGAGGAAAACAAGAAAAAAAAAATCTGAATCTCAGAAGCCAGAACAGCAAGAGGGATCGCTGCGCAGTGAAAGCAGCAATCCCTCTTGCTGTTCTGGCTTCTGTGATAGCTGCACAGCCTGCATTTGCTCCATAAGACGCACACACATTTCCCCTTACTTTTTAGGAAGGAAAAAGTGAGTCTTATAGAGCATAAAATACGGTATATTTTTACGTTGGTATACTTTCCAGATATGTTTGTGACAAATGGGAAGGCAATCTGATGGAGAGAGAGAGAGGGAGAGAGAGAGAGAGAGAGAGAGAGAGAGAGAGAGAGAGAGAGAAGAATATCATACCTTTTTGAAAGTCTGCCACCAAATCATCCTGCCAGTGTGGCATTTTATAAAAATCTCTTACAGCAAATAACTGGTAATTGTGGCATGAGAGAGGGAATTCAGCTATTCGATAATTGAAAGGCAATACGGGATAACATCTCAGCGTGCAGTGGAGACAGGTTTCTATTTCATGACACATGATGAGCTCGCAACGGTGAATTTTAAGATTCAGGAGTACAAAAGTGGTGAGTTAAGACCTGGTAAATCAAAACAAAACTCTACATTCATACTTTATGAATGAAAATGATCAGGGATGGCTGCAGATATCTCATCTGAGCAGAACTTCCATATTTGCACCCTTTTTTTAAAACTGAAGGCACAAGTGCTGAAGAGGTCTGGGGATAAGAACATAAGAGCCCTGGTGAATGAACCCAAAAGTCCATTTAATCATTCTCTTTCCTGTTCTGCCAAATCAGATAGCTCCCAGAAACCCACAAGGACAAGAAACTGAAGGAATGGAGGAAATAATTCCCTGAAGATTAGCAGAAATCCCTTCAAAATTTGCCTGAGGACTAAACTAGATCACATGCAAAATGCATGATATTAATATTAGGCAGGCACTTTCATTTTACAATTTTTGTTTAGGCGAGCCTACTTAGACATATTTATTTCTAAAGCAATTGATTTTATCTATATTTTTATAAATTTATTATGTCTACTGGTTTTAACATCTGTTTTCATCCCTATTTTTAAATAAGGTGTTTTTATGTAAACCACTTAAAGATTTATTATTACTGCTAAATAAATAAATGAAAAATAAAAGTTTGCACATCTGATTTTTGAAAAATAGCAGTCATGGTGGAGGAGGGGGATCAGCATGTAAGGAGAGGGGTTAATTTTTTCCCCTACTGTGGTCCCAACAAAAAATAATCCCAATGCTGCTATTACTAGCACACCCATAAAGAAGACTCAGGAGACAACAGCATTGTGGAAAAATGTTTATATTTATAAAAAATATAATAAAATGGGAGGATTTGCAAATAAATCAACTGAAAGAAAATATCAGGAAAGTCCCCTAAACCAGGAGGTAACATCTACTTCCAGTCTCCTGAGCACATCTACAAGTTCAACCTGTGGCATCACAGCAAAGGATTAGAAGGAACCCTTCCCCCTTCTTATGAGAGCCTCAGAGAAGTGAACCATGGTCCCACTGGTTTGGTGTCCACCCAAAGAATTGGAAAGGACCACAAGGGTAATCAAGTCCAACTTCCTGGAATGCAGGACTTTCTACTAGATCACACATGACAGGTGGCCATCCAACTTCTGCTTAAAAACCTCCAAGGAAAGAGATTCCATCACCTCTTGTGGGAGTCCCTTCCACTGTCAAATAGCTCTTACTGTCAGAGAGATCTTCCTCATGTTGAGTCAGAATCTCCTTTCTTGTAACTTGAAACCATTGGTTTGTATCCAATCCTCTGGAGCAACGGGTAAAAAAAAGCTTGCTCCATCTTCCACAAGAGAGCTCTTTAGATATTTGAAGATGGCTATCAATCTCTTCTCAGGCTCTACTTTACCATGCTAAATATACCCAGTTTCTTCAACTGTTCCTTATAGTGTTACCTCAGGTTACAGACGCTTCAGGTTACAGACTCCGCTAACCCAGAAATAGTTCCTCAGGTTAAGAACTTTGCTTCAGGATGAGAACAGAAATTGCACGGTGGCGGCATGGCGGCAGTGGGAGGCCCCATTAGCTAAAGTGGTACCTCAGGTTAAGAACAGTTTCAGGTTAAGAACAGACCTCCAGAACGAATTAAGTTCTTAACCCAAGGTACCACTGTATAAGGCTTGGTTTCCAGATCCTTTATCATCTTGGTCACCCTCCTCTGCACAGGTTCCAGCTTGTCAACATCCTTCTTGACTTGTGGTACTTGGAACTGGACCCAATATTTCAGTGGGGACTTTCTCACAAGACCAGCCTGATGATGGTGGGTCGTGGAATGAAGACTGGTGCTGGTGGCCAGCCATTAGCTCCTCAGTGGAAGTCATTGAGCATGCAGAAGGCTCGGCCAGGCACAGAGGGAGGTTGCCAGGGTAATGGGTGTGATGTCACAACAGGGGAAAAGGGTGTCCCGTTACAACACAGGTTTTGGGAGCAGGAGCTTCTGGGAAGAAGGAGTAGGAAGTGGGAAGAACTCCATGTGAGGACTGAAGGGCAGCAGCCATGCTGGATGGCTGGAGCAGGCTGTTTGAGAGAGACATGGGGATAGTGCTTAGGATGAGACTGAATCCAATGCAGCTACTTGGAAGGACAAACCCATTTTGGGTTTAAATGCTGTGAACTCTCCTTCCATAATGAGAAAGGCAAAGTAGGAACAATCAAGGCAAAGCCCCAGTCTATATCTGAGTAGGAAACCTCAAACCAGAGCTCTGAAACAAATGTAACAATGGAAGTAACTTCCCAGAGCCCTGGAAGGATACCAACTGGCAACACGGGTAGTAGAGAGGTGGT